TATTTGGAAATGTTTGCTGTTTGAATTATTCTGTAATGATTAGTAACCATTCTTACATACCAACAATTTTGAGTGTTAAATATATTTTTTTAAATATTATTTTTATTTGTAAATTTTTCTTTGTGTAAATTCACTAACCTAGCACTCAGATAATGAGAAATAAAATTATGCTTTAATGTTAGGGAGTCTCATCTTGCCTAGAGGTAGGGGGAATAGGCTTTCTGTGAGCAGTTGGTGGTTGATCACTGAATATTATCTTTTTCTCACCATGCCAGCATGCAGACTGGCATAAGCAATGACAAAAAATATCCCAAAATTATAGTTAGTGAATAAGAGCTTACCCTGCAGGGCATTTAGACATATTTGTTATCCCAAGGCAGCAATTAAAACCCACAATATATGATTTAGGAATTTAACAGAAACTATCTGTCAAAATTACTTTTATCAAGTAGGTTTTCAATGAAACTTTATTATGACTACTCAATTTCTTACATTTTTGAGAATCCCAGGAAACCCTCCAAATTAATGTTCTAATTCAAGTCCACACCACTTCTCGTCCTTTTCTCTGCTGTTGTCCACCCTTCTTTAAGGTTCTTATCTGTCAAACCATTGTATCCTTAGCATGTTTAAAGGCAATTACTTTTTGTATATGCTTGGATTATTTTCATTAAGAATGATTTGGTAAAATTAGTAAAATGTGATTTAATGCATCTATATCTTTTATGTATGTATAAATCCACAAATCACAAAACAGCTTGCATATTAAGCAGTAGGATTAAAATTTATTATTGAAAAATATATGATCCTTGATTCTAGAGTCTTATTTCTCTCTCCTTCTGCCCCCAAAGTGTTCAACCATTCTAGGAAACTAGCTCAGAGACCCATATCGTTTTCAAGGTTGTACTTCTTCCTAATCAATATGAAGAAGCAGACAGTAATAAAAAGGACTCACAGTAGTTTTAAGAAAACTCCAATTTGTCAGCGTAGGTACCTCTAATTTATTTTGGAATACAAATGGTAAGAAGGAGACATGTCTCTGAAGGCAAGGGAAATAAAAGCAAAAATGAACTATTGGGACATTGAGATAAAAAGCTTCTGCACAATGAAGGAAATAATCAGCAAAACTAAAAGGCAACCAACGGAATGGGAGAAGATATTTACAAATGACATATCGGATAAAGGGTTAGTCTCCAAAATCTATAAAGAACTGACCAAATTCAATGCCTGAAAAACAAACAATTCAGTGAAAAAAAGGGCAAAAGACACGAATAGACACTTCTCCAAAGAAGACATCCAGATGGGCAACACACACATGAAAAGAGGCTCAACATTGCTCATCATCAGGGAAATACAAATCAAAACCACACTGAAATACCGCCTCATACCAGTCAGAGTGGCCGAATTAACAACTCAGGCAACAACAGATGTTGGTGAGGATGTGGAGAAAGGGTTGCACTGTTGGTGGGAATGCAAACCGGTGTGGCCGCTCTGGAAAACAGTGTGGAGTTTCCTCAAACGTTTTAAAATAGAATTACGCTAAGACTCAGCAATAGCACTACTAGGAATTTATCCAAAGGATACAGGAGTGCTGATTTGTAGGGGTACATGTACCACTGTTATAGCAGCGCTATCAACAATAGCCAAATTATGGCAAGAGCCCAAATGTCCATGAACTGATAAATGGATAAAGAAGATGTGGTGTACACACCCCCACCCACACACACACATACACACACACTGGAATACCACTCGGCAATGAAAAAGAATGAAATCTGGCCATTAACAACAATGTGCATTGAGGAGGGCACCTGTTGGGATGAGCACTGGGTGCTGAATGGAAACCAATTTGACAATAAATTTCATATTAAAAAAATAAAAATAAAAAACCAATGTGGATGGAACTGGAGGGTATTATGCTAAGTGAAGTAAGTCATTCAGAAAAGGAAGGATATCATACGTTTTCATTCATATGTGGAATTTGAGAAACTTAACAGAAGACCATACGGGAAGGGAAGGGGAAATAAGTTACAAGCAGAGAGGGAGGCAAACCATAATAGACTCTTAAATACAACAGAGAACAAACCAAGGGTTGATGAGGGTGGGGGACGGGCATTGAGGAGGGCACTTGTTGGGATAAGCACTGGGTGTTGTATGTAAGTTGTGAATCAGGGGAATCTACTCCCAAAGCCAAGATGTTAGCTAACTTGACAATAAATTATTAAAAAAAAAAGACCTCACCCTAAAAAACAAAACAAAACCAAAAACAAAAAACAAAAAAATAAATGGGTAAGAAGGGTGATGAAAAGACAGGAGCTTTCTTGGGCTATTTTTCATGGATAGTTTTGTGGAAATGCCAATTTACAGATAGAATTCAGCTTACAACATCGGGCAAGTGTTAGTCTTTCAACTATATGACCTTTCTTTCTGGGCAAAGGTCCCCCTGTATTAGGAAAGCAATGCACTGCTTTTTAATTTGGGAGAGAGAGAGAGCAGGGGAAAGAGACAGAGGGGGAGAGAGAGAGAGAGAGAAACAGAGAGGGAGAATCTTAAACAGGCTCCATACTCGGTGTAGAGCTAGACAAAGGGCTTGATCCCACAAGCCTGGGATCATGACCTGAGCCAAAATCAAGAGTTAGACACTCAACCGACTGAGCCACCCAGAAGCAATATACTTCTGGTGCTCATAGCTTTCTTCCTTTGGCTTCAGGATATCTGTACTAATTTACAGACTTTGCTATCCTTTCTGTCCTTGAAGAATTTTCTCTAGCTTCAGCTTGAAAGGGTACTTCACCATTTCAACACCATTCCAGTCATTAGGTAAATGCTGGCATCTCCACTGAGAATTTGTTTGTTTCATGTGGGTTCTCTCCCACAGCCCAATCCAAAACTTGTTTCCATTTAACTTGTGAAAGGACAGAGTCTTGATGACTCCCATCCTTTCCATTTTAGTTTCTAAGGTTGAGGGATGGAGGTATGTATTCGTAACTCAACTATGTAACAGAGAAAACACACACAGGAGTCTTTCCTAAACCAAGTTAGCAACTTTCCCCTCCATGTACATATATACTTTTAAATGATGAGAATCCTCAGCTTAACAGGATTTTTTGCCTTTTAAAAAGGATTCAAGGTAACCCAAATTGCCTTTATTGATAAAAATACCTAAGAATAGAAAAGTTTGGGGATAAGCACAAACTGTACATCAAATCCCGTATCTTATATCATGCTAATTTCTTTGTTCTTACTACCCACTATCTTTCTGCAAAAAAAAAAAAATTCTTTATGGCAAACATGGCTTTAGGGATCCTAATTTGTGCCTGAATATCTGGGAGCAGAAATTACACTCATCTGCTACATTACTGCTCATTCTCCTACAGCCCCCAAAATAACTGAAATTTCAGTTAATAGAGAAAAGATTAATGCTTTCTCGATAAGGTTTTACATCTAAATTAATAAGATGGCATAATCCAGCTCTTGCTCTGGATACCAAAGAAATCGAACATGACAAGCACTTCTTTTTCCCTTTAGTATGTTGTAACACAAAACTGGATGAATCAGAGAACCAAAGGAGTGAGGGAAAAATGCAGCCACACAATAGACATTGTACTCAGTAGCTGCACCATGCTAGGGTACAAAGATGAGAGGTGTACTCAGCCTCAGAGAGTACTCAGGTTCTCAGGCAGTAGGGGACATAATGTATCTACCCATAACACTCGGGTAAAGGACATGAAATATGTCATGGGAACTCGTACTGAACATTATCCCTTATAGATTCACATAGGAGTAAGCATCTCTCCAGATCCTTTGAGGAATATATAGGTGTCTAATGTGCAATGCATATAACAAAGTTGCTTTATTCTGTTCCATATTTTCGCTGCATCATTTTACATTTTCATCCGTTATGGTTGGAAGATTCTCTTCTGTTAAGATACTATTATTGACGATGATACAAATGCTTCCTAACCGTTGTCATTTGTAGGGCTTAGAAAACAACTGACGTGTACCACCCACTGTGATCTAGAAAAGGATTTATTAAACATGCAGCCATGAGTCACACAGGACTTCTTTTTCTGTAAATATTGAGGACCAATAGTCTTATATTTAAAAATGCCAGCCTAGAGAAACCCCACTGGCTTCCCCTGCCATGAATTAACTGCTTATTTGCAGGAGCTGTCCCAAGAGGCCATTCAGAGGCCATTATTTCACTGTGAAGACTCTGTTAAAAAGAATAATTGGGAGGCGCCTGGGTGGCTCAGTCGGTCCAGCGTCCGACTTTGGCTCAGGTCATGATCTCACGGTCCGTGAGTTCGAGCCCCGCGTCGGGCTCTGTGCTGACAGCTCAGAGCCTGGAGCCTGTTTCAGATTCTGTGTCTCTCTCTCTCTCTGACCCTCCCCTGTTCATGCTCTGTCTCTCTCTGTCTCAAAAATAAATAAACATTAAAAAAAAGAATAATTGGTATCAATAACACTTACCTGTGTATGCAGAGGGAAGGTTACCCAGCTATAACAAGCCCAGATTCACACAGCCACTACTTAAAACAATGCAATGTTTGGGATTTATGAGAATAAGTCCTGTCAATAATAATGCCCTTGTCTGAAGGGGCCTTCTCGATTCATCTGGCATATGCTGCAGTGTATTCACAGTTAAATCGAATCTGCCATGCAGTTACAGGCTAAGGGGCGGCATACAAGATGTCAATGATACACACTGAAAGGGTTTACTTCTCAAATAAATGGCTTCAGATGCCTTTATGCTCTCGTGTTCCTCCAGAACAGCCACAGGACTGTTTCAAATGCAAAATCTGCAACATAACTAGTGATTATCTTAATCAGTTGCTGAAGGGTATTGGGAAAATGAGGGGGACACAATTACCATTACACAGAAAGATGGATCAAGCATGAATCGATGCGGCAGGAACATAAGGAAACAGACATGGGTCTAGACAAGGGAAGGAACCCCCAAACCACTATGATGACAACAACAACAAAGATCATCGCTTAACCTGTTTTGTCAGAGCTGGTATTGATGGTATTGGTAGTGATGGAGGTGAAGGTAGTCTTTGCGCTGTCCTTGGCAGTTACAGATTTCTGCTTATTTTTCATGGCTTCCAGTGCTTTGAGCTTCTTGGCATGTTTCGTGCCTTTGTAGTGGGCCGCAGCCTGGCTCTACAAAGGAGAACAAAATGAACCGTGCAATCAGGCTCATTTCTAAACTGGCATTCTCTGTATTACTGCAAATACAGACTCCCTTTCAATAATAGGTACCATTCAAGCTAATTCTGGCAGTGGCCAAACAGTAGGGTTCTATTTAGAATGATGCTAGAAAGCAATGGGATTCAAGTTCTAAAACCTCTGGACAGAAGTAAGAGATATTCCATTGTTTCTCTTGAGAGAAATGTGGCTGAACACTAACACATCAACAACATTTTCTTTGTGGAGTGGGGAAAAAAAAAATTGTACCCATATTCCTCTGGCTCTGCCACAGAGGATGCTGGGCTCCCAAAGATTAACAAGGGCCCCAGAAAAGAGTAGCTCTCATCTTCTTGGCTCAGGAAATGTGTTTTCTCTCTCTACAATGTGTCTTATTAATACAATCCCCAACAGGTGTCTACAAGGAAAAGTTCACACATAACAAGGGAAGTGGGCACCCTGGAGACTGAAATTGAAGTTCGACAGTTCAAAAGCAAATGTACTGCCTAAGTCCAAATGAAGTACACAAAAGCTGGGCAATTTTCTGATTCTTTCTTTCTCCTTGCTTCCTACAGAGGTAGTCTGAGAAACTCAAGGGACTGGCATTCCTTAAACACATGGATCTTTCATGCCCTGGTCCATGGTCAGGAGGCTCCAATGTGCTTTGACTACTTAATGGAGCCACAACAATTCTTTTACCTGTGCCTTCTGAGATTTTTTTTCTTAAACAGTAATATACATTTTCCAAAGTTTATATTTTCTTAACATGATTTTGTTGTTGTTGTTCCTGGAGAGACACAATAATTGAGATAGAAAATCATCTTAAAGAATCCTATATTTATTAATGCTTATTGGAAAACAAGGAGTCTTTGCTGCTGGGGGTGGGAGGGGACTGGGCTGAGAGATTCTTAGATCAGAAAGTTTCCCAGATCAAAACCCTTAAAAAGACACCTCACAAAGAAGAAATCTCAGTGGAGGACTATGTCTGTCAGACTGCCCATTGCTTCCCGTGACTTATTTAAATCCATGTTCCACTCCATGTTCTGGCTCCATTTTGCCAGAAAAAATAATAATAACCACACTGTCCTCTTTGTCACAGCAATTGTGGTAAGTAGGGTTGTAGTATAATGTCTTTTTGTAAATAGGTAAAGAAATAATCCACACCTTCATTTGCATCATTCTGACAAATATTCTCAAAGGACTAGGTACCCTTATTGAAAGAACACTGGACAAGGAAATCATATATTAGAAACAGTTTGAACAGAGAGGACGCTCATGCATCAGTTACGAGTTTTCCAACAACACATAACATCAAAAGACATAGTGCGAGCCAAAATGTGAAGTTAAGACTTGCTATAGTTAATTGAAGAACCAATGATAGGTTGGATTGGGCTGATTCTACATTAAGAATGCCACTTTGATGAACAGAGTTGTGTCCTTTTTTTTCCTGCCTAGTTCTCCTTCTTAACAAATCGATTCCTTTGGTCCTATCTTTTGAGGGCAATATGCATTTTTAATAAAATCCACAATATAGACGGTCCTCTTCTCTAGACAGCTGGCTACACACTTTCTCTTAAAGCAAAGTTCCTCTCTTCTCTCTGTCCGCATTCTTATTCCTGACATAGAAGTGAATGTTTTATATGTAATACATATTAAAAGACAGGGTTTATATTAACAGTGCTATCTCCATTTATACCTCATATATATATATGTATATATGTATATATATGTATATGTATATATGTATATGTATATATGTATATATATGTATATGTATATATGTATATGTATATATATGTATATGTATATGTATATATGTGTGTATATATATATATATTTTTTTTTTTAAGGTTCCTTGCAAATATGCATTCTCAGTAGTATTTCAAATCAGGCAAGACTCTGTTTTAACACACCATAGGACCAGGTGAATGTCACTATTTTGGATATTAAGAAACTTACTCCAAAGGAACCCCTGCAAGTGAAGAGAGTATTTACACCTCCCCAAAATACTCTCTCCACAGGCACAGCTAAGCCAATGCTTCCATCCAGTGAAATGGCTCAGGGAGTCATAGAGAGAAGGGGATGACAGAATAAACAAGAGTTGGTGGGCTCCCTCCCAAGTGAGACACCTGATCTATTAAAAACATAATAAAAATGTATACTCACTTGTTAATTGAGTAATAGTCCCAGAGCTTCTTGATAATAATTATTTCAATTAAAAATTATCTGATTAAAAAAAAAAAAGGTAACTAAGCCTTCCCCAAATTTGAAAATAAAAAAAAAAAGAAGATCCAAAGTGCTATGGAGAGATCAGGACATAGAGAATTTAGGGGGAATGGTAAAGTATAGAGGGGTTGGTAACACTGGAGGCGTCAATGTGATTATGACAGTGCAGGGCATAAGTGGTGGGGAGGAGTTGGGCATACAAGTTGGAAACCAAATGTAGACAGATAACCCTTTCTGGATATTTTACATTAGACCTTTATTTAATGTTCGTAGGATTTATTGGACTGCTCTTGGTTTACACCGGTATAAATTTTCTAGTCTCTGCATGTTGACCCCACAAATCTTGATCCATCTTGATAGAGGTGTGTGGTATAAAGGTGTGTTCCTTGTGCAAAGGAAGTATATCCAGTGAGCTCCCTGTATTCCTTTCAGCCACTTCCTGGACTGAATCAATTATTCAGCCCCATCTAATATTTCTGTGACTGCAGACAAAGCTGTAGCCTAAGAGGGAGTCCTGCTGGGAGATTTTTTTGAAAGCAGCAGTTGGTCAGAGATGTTTCTTTGGGCCTCAGCTGCTTTTCCTTTGGGCAGAGAGGCACTGGATGTACCATACCACCTCATATTCCCTCGGGGCTGTTTCCTATTATTAGCCTCTGAATCAAGTCATTCCCAGAAACCTGGGGACCATCGGACACAAGCAACCCATTATTTTTCACAGGAATGATTCCAAGGTTAAATAAGTGGACTACTTCATTATGGCACACTTCAGCATTCTGTATTTTGAGACTGAAACAGAATCAGATGATCATAGTACACAAAGAAGTTAGCAGAACAATAGAAACTGGGCTTTGACAACTTCCTTTTAAATAATGAGTGTAATATAGGGTGTTGTATAATAAACGTCACTCTACCACCCTTGAAATAGCACATGACAGCATGAAATCTAACAAGTGTCATCCCAGAGGCAAGTGCTGACATTAAAGATATGCACACACATTCCTGCAGAATAGAATGATGCCATTTTAAATGTCATCACCACATCCTAGTCATCAGTAGCCAGTCATACTTTCTCATCTTCAAATTTTATCTTCAGCATTTCAAAATGGCTTCAAGTTTAAATGTAACTGAAGTCCCAAAGTAGACAAAAATAACTGTTAAATGGCCACAATTGGGAGAGAAGTCTCATTCTTTTGAAATGCACACACACACACACACACATGCACACACGCACACACACATACACCCACACATTTATTTTACTCATGTAAGTAAGAGACTTCTTGATAAACCCCTATTCTCTTATGAAACTCACAGAATAATATTGTGTGAATATTCATATGCATCTATCATCTTATCTCATTAGCATCAATACCTTGTACACTTTTATTCTATGTCTCCTTAATACAAGGTATCTTAATATGATTTTTAAAAACTAAGTTTATTATTAGCACAAACATGTAGCTCCCACAACCAATATTAATTTTCATAAACACATATGATTTCAAAAGGAACATGGTAGTCTTTGTTAGTTATTAATATGTAATTTTGCCACATATTAAACTGTATGAAAATTAAATGAATGTTATCATGTTAAAATGCAACATCAGAAAAGTAAAGTGTAGTTAATTGAGAAGTTGTGATCCATTTTGGGGCAGGGGGTAGAGATAATACCTGAGCCAGGTAAATTTTTCTTTCTTTCTTTCTTTCTTTTTCTTTCTTTCTTTCTTTTCTTTGTTTTCTTTCTTTCCTTCCTTCTTTCCTTCCTTCTTTTTTTCCTTCTTTCTTTTTCTTTCTTTCCTTCCTTCCTTCCTCTCTCTCTTTCCTTTTTTTTATAATAAGTTACCTCATGTTTTTAATTTTGGCTTAGATTATTGTTTTGAAGATAAAAAAAATTAAATGACAAAACATGATATAGTATCCTAAATTCTAAAACACTTACTTTAGATTTACATTTTAAGAATTATTTTAAAAAATTACTTCAGGAAAGTTTAATGTTTTGGTTTATCTACGTGCAGTTGTTTCTATGTTGTGTACATTCACTCAAGTTTAATACTAAAACAGTGTGTACAGGCTCAGCCCTATGGGTTAGGGCCAGTGCGCATTTTAAATTGGTCAGCAGTACATGGGGTGCCTGGGTGGCCCAGTCAATTGAGCATCTGACTTCAGCTCAGGTTATGATCCCACAGTTAGTGAGTTCTAGCCCCATGTCAGGTTCTGTGCTGACAGCTCAGAGCCTGAAGCCTGCTTCAGATTCTGTGTCTCCCCATCTCTGCCTCTCCCCCCGCTCATTCTCTGTCTTTCTCTCTCAAAAAATGAATAAATGTTAAAAGATTTTTTAAAAAATTGGTCAGCGGCTTATTAAACATTTTGAATATCACTTTTGTATATACCAGCAGCAGATTTCTATTCTATTCTATCGTATTCTGTCTTAATTATTATATCTTAATTCTTTCATTATCAACTCTCAGCTTCATTTAACGTTGATAGAAATAAAGACATAGTTCTCAGAGAGCTGTCCCCAGACCAGTAGCCATAGAAGCAGCTGGGTTACTAGAGACGCAGATTCTCAATCTCCATCCCAGACCTACTGAGTTAGAAATGATGGGGCTGGGGCTCAACAATCCGAGTTCTAAAACCTACTCAGAAGCTTACAATGCATATCAAAGTTTCAGAACCACTCATCTTAAATACTAGAGCGTTTTCTTCAAAGATGGGCCCTTCTTTAGTAAATAGCCAAAGTCTAGGTTTTT